TCTGAGAACTTTATATATTTTGGAGATTAACCCCTTATAAGATGTATCATTGGCAAATATGTTCTCTCATACAGTGGGTTCCCTTTTCATTTTTTAAAAAAATGTTTTATTGATTTTTTAAGAGAGGGAGGGATAGAGAGTTAGAAACATCGATCAGAGAGAAACAATGATCAGCTGCATACCTCCTACTGGGGATGTGCCAGCAACCAAGGTACATGCCCTTGACTGGAATCAAACCTGGGACCCTTCAGTCCGCAGGCCGACGCTCTATCCACTGAGCCAAACCGGTTAGGGCAAGAATCTTAAATTTGTTATTATAAGCTCAGAGAGGACAGAATTCCAAAAGCCTCTTATGAAACCTGGAAAGAATTGCATGAGATTAATGTAAACTTGCTCTGTTTAATGTACACAGTGTAATCTTTATAAAGAGTACAAACAAACAACAACCGTAACCTCTTCCGCTGGGCACTGACAATAAGGCCTAGGATTGGAGGAGTATGGTGGGAGTGAGGAAACTACTTCAGTTCTATCTCAGTACCTATATTTTAGGCAAGACACTTGGCCCTTAGTATTGTGACATTAATGTGAAGGATTTACAGTTCCCTGAATTATGACAGCAATGCATTATAAATTGCATTGCTGTCATAATTCAAAGTAGTACTATATCATTTGAAGGTTCAAATACAGTATAAACACATGTGATCACATTCACCAGCAAGACAAATTTTTTCCTAGAAAGGTCAATTTAGATATCAAAATTATGTATATGTAATTATATGTCTGTGTGTAACCTTTTGTTAATGGTACTGATGAATTCTGATATCTAACTTTGTTAAATGTAGAGTAGGATAATTAAAAAATGTTAACTTATAACCTGGAAAAATTATAAAAGTTTATAACTTAAAACATAGCAGGATCTGACCTATATTTGATCTATATCATTTGATTCATTAATATTTTAGGAGCATTTTTTAATAAGTCTGAGTCCTCTGTGTGTTCTGTAACTATAGTTCTGTTCTACTCACTATTTAAGCAAAGAAAGAAAAATTCAGACTGAGATCTGCTGAATTACATGTTGTCTTCTAAGATGTTTAAATTTTAGGATTAGCATAATATACTGAAAGTAATAACATACTACAGTTAGTACCAAAATGTTGGGGTCCAGCCCCAGCAGATCCAGGGGTTCCCAAAGATGTGGACAGAGTCGGCGAAGAAGGAAGGACATGGAGGCAGCATTCAGTTGGTCATCATAGCGAGGTTCTTTTTTTATTCTCCTACTAGAGGCCCAGGACATGAAATTCATGCACTCAGGGGGTCCCTCAGTCTGGCCTGCCCCCTCTCACAGTCCAGGAGCCCTCAGGGGAGCAGGTTTAAGCCAGCCGTCGGACAT